CTTGTTCCTCTGTGAAAAGCTAGCAGATGCACAAATCCCTGTTTCAGATAAGTTTCCCTTTCTCTGTTATCTTTATCTGTTAACAAAGATAGTTGGGTGCATTTAACTGTCAGACATCTTCTCCAGCACTTGTAACCAAAACCTATGCTCCAAGTGATAGAAAGAAAACCTTCCGGGTAGAAGTTGTGTTACTAAATCAGACAAAAGGGTCACACAGTTATCCTTATTACCTGCAGCCAGATCAACTACTACAGACAGGAGAAGGCATAAAAGCTCTTACATAAAGAATGGGTGGCAAACTCAGTAGGACCAGTATAGAGTTGACCTCACAGCTCCACGGAAATGTAACCCCCAAAGCTTAAATACATCTCTTAACTGAAGTAATTATTTTATTCCATCAGGATAGAGCATCTATTAGTCCACTGAGTTCTGCTATTTCTTCATTAAATTAGACAGGGGTTACAGTCTAAGACACATAACAATGTCATTGAAACTTAAACTAAATACTTGCCAGCAGTCATTAAGTCTGTGCTGTTTTCCCCATGCTAGTACATGATGTGCTGAGAATGGCTTTGTCATGGCATATAGAAGCTCTTTCCATGGCCTCTACTGTGAAAACATATGCACCTAAACTATATTTGACTGCAAAACCCAACAGGAGAAAAAAAAATTGAGATTATTACTTGTGTAACAAGGATAAATGCTCAACAGTCTAAATGCTTATATGCTTCTGCATTCTAGCAGGCAGACTATCTCCACTGTGTCCCCAATGCTTGCATAAGTTAAAGACTAAATGCAAAATTTTTAAGTCCCAGAGAAAACAGCCAGCAGTAGTATGAACAGTAAGTCCTGAGCAGTACAACTTTGAGAATTTACTCAAAAGTTTGAGAACTTTTGAGAATAATTGCTGAGAATTTACTCTGAATTAAAAATAAAAATCAATTTTTTTTAAAACAGCTTTTATCAAGTGTCCCAAACTTGCTCACCATCAGTGAAAACTGCAGCTTAAATCACTAGAAGGTTATTTTGCCCAAGAGTGAAATGCTGAGAAGATATCAAGGGCGAATATAATTCCACTGTTTAAAATGGTCTCCATCCATCTTTCACAAGTAGGCAATCTGAGTTCATGACAGGAATACATTTGTGAACTAAAGCAGTGGAACAGAGCTAGGAGAGGGTCTGCAACTCAGTAAGAAATCAAGTTCTTGGCACAGGCTGCAGTGCAGGCACAGAACAGGGTGGTGCTTTTCGACCTGATATACCTCAAATTTAAAAGATTTGCTCTGACATCTCATTTATATGTCAACTCTGGATAAAGGTTAACAACTAAGGAAGGTAGCTGATGTTGTATACCGGGGTTTGGGGATTGGTCTTCCATTAAAAAGTACATCAGGTTCATCATACCTGAACTCCAACGTGAACTCGAACCACCTCCAGTGTTGAAGGGCCAGTAGAGAAAGGCCACAGAGCAATGTCTGAGTTCATACTCAAGAATGCAATTATATACCTGTAACTAAACAAGCTTGGTCATTCAGTACAAAACGAGTTGGACTGAGTCTGATCACAGCAGACAAATATCCACAGGAGTAAATGTTAGGTTTCAATAGACTCCACATCCATGGTTACAGAACTACCCCCACTTTATTCTAGAAACAGCTCTATTAGGTCATTGTGTTATACTGAGAGATTGAAGTCTGCATAGCTGTACCTATTCTGCAAGGTTAATAAGGAGCTTACTTTCAAGAGCTGTCCATTTTGTACCTCTTCTGATTGCTGAATGCATTTTGTATTCCCCAAAGTTCTCAAAGGACAGGTAAGAGCTACGCATTAAGAGTCACTACCAAGCAACTTGGCACTACCAAGCAACCAACCAAGAGACTTCATTACATTCTTTCTGCCCAAGATAGCTGACATTAGCTTTTATAATATGAGAAGTGTATTTGTAAATATAATATCTGGTTACTCTAAATAAAATCTCAGTCAGTGGTCTCTTACCCCCATCCCTTCTAAAGAAAAAAAAAAACCCACTGGGGTCACTGGACTCTTCACAGACATTAAAAAATTAAAATAGAAACTGAGGTGGCAACGGCCCAGATGGCAAAAAGCAAGTATAACGCTGCCTGCAGGCCACTATCTCTTCCAGTACCAGTGTGCCCTGCTGTCCTAGCCAGTTAAGTAGGAAAACACTTATCCTCACATGCAGAAAAAAGAATAATCTTTCTATTTGCTACTGAGAATGTGGAAATGATAGTCTGTACAAAAGAAAAGCTTAAGATTAGAAGTGACTTTATTAGGTTAGCTTCCCACTATAACATCCAAGTGAAATATTTTCAATCATTTTGTGTAGCAGCTGAACAATGTAAATTCAGGCATCAGATATTCCTGAACGGTAGGGTGGTGCATTTGAACCTCTACGTCCCTGTGAAAGCCTGCACACATACAAACACTCTTCTAATATATAATGGAAAATTCTTCCCATTGAAACTTACTGTGGAATATGAAAATAACGGCACCATGAACGGGAAGACGCTATTTTGCGAACCAGTGATGCTATCTGGAGGTTGGATCCTTTTGTAAATAAGGCTCATGAATTGCTACATTTCTTTGGAAATAATTATTATATTTCATAAAGAGATGCAGAAAAGTGTCAGCACTGCACATATCCATAATGATAAAGTATGCAGCACACCCAAAGAAAGAAATGAAAATCGTGTCTGGTCATGCATTCTGCTTGTCAATTTATATCTCTTTGTTTCCATTTGTTTCATCTTTGGAAGATAACAAAAGGTGATTATAGTCTGTTTTTCCTGTGACCCCTACTATGCATTGTTTTTCTGACCCTATATATAAAACACATTCTTCAAAGATAATAAGCATAACACACAAGGGAAAATAGGGACAGAACCACACTTAAAAAAAAAACTTCTATGTGAGCTTAATGTTCAACTGTCCACAAGAATCTGGGTGTGAGACAGATGTTGGCAGATGCTTGAGTTATCTTAAGTATTTGACTTGATTGACTGATACAGACAGCGTTATGTTAGATCAGCTCTGTAGTACTTCCCCTGCTAACACTAGGAAATTAGAGAACTGTGCACCGCAAATGCAATACCAAACCTCGCACAAAAGTCTAAATGTATCCTGCATCCACCACGCCTTCCGAGACAAGATTTTTGCTGCACTATCCAGCAGCAGCCAAATCTATCATGAGGAACCACGCACCTTTCTACCAGCATCCCAAAGGTATATTATAGTGCCATGTAAAACAAAAATTATGCCTGAAAGCTGCAAAACTTACAAAGGACTTCAAGATACCTTAGCAGAGACAACTTCCAGTGCACACACATTGTTTGCGTGTGCAGAGTGATCCATTTGTAATTTATAAGCCCGTGCCAGAAAAAAAGACGTGACACAAACTTTTAGTTTGGTTACTGACTGCCAAACATTTACTTTCACCATTAGAAACACAATCACATTTTTACGACATGATTTGTCATTAAAAATAAATCTGTATTCCTTGCAGCAGACTGCATACATATAATTGGACTACATACTGTTCTTTTGCCGACTTCTTTCTGTAAAGGGTATGTAAGAATTTCAGAAGAGAAAACATTATAGATTTTGTAGTTTTTTTTAAAAGGGGAAACAGTGGAAGCACTCCTTCTGCATTGCTAAAAAAAAAAAAAAAGCCATTTCACAAGACCCAGTGGTTTCCTAAATGCCAACAGCGAAACGGTTACGACTGAAAGACAATACCTGAATTTCATTCATGGATAAAGAAATTCACGATAATTTCCACCCTTTGGCTGACTTTCTAGGTAGAAATCTGACTGCCTACGGCAGACGTGCTCTCCTACAGCAAGGGGGATGCAGCCTCCCCTCTATTCAGACTTAGAAATCTATGTTCCACTGTTTAGGGACCCTTTGATGGTACGGCTGAAGCAGTATGGGATCCTTATCCATAGCTTTTAGAATTTCCTTTTATAAAATATGATCTTTTACGTTCACGAAATCTGTACGATACTCAACGCAGCCAGGAACCCCTTTTAAAAGCGCTCCTGTGTTTCCCAAGGAGTTTGCTGTTAACACTGGCAAGCGTGAGAGGCTGCGAAACGTCTCCCAGATAAATTTACTGTTTGCTCCGGTTCGTTTTCGGCAGCACTGTCCATTTCCTCACCGCAACCCCGTCACGGGGCGCTGCTCGGGGCAGCCCGCCACC